GCCCACAGCGGCCTGAAGGGTGGGTCTGATCCACTAGAGCTGCAGTTGCAGACAGTTGGGGCCACCATGTGGTTGTTGGGCCCCGAACCTGGGTCCTCTGGACATGCAGAGCTCCCCAAGGCTCTTCTGTGAAACCGAATCTCCCTTGCTGTGGTGCATGTGTTAGAGGTTTGGTCCCCAAGGCCTCACTGTTGGGAGGTGGTGGAGCCTGTAGGGAGGGTCCGAGGGGACGTCCTTAGGTGCTCTTGAAGGACAATCCTGAGTGCCAACCAGTCCCTTCTTCTTTCTCCATCTGCTTCTTGGCTCCACAGGTGATTGGTTTGCTCCTCTCCACTTCTGGATAGCTGCTCTCACCAGAGGCCCAAAGTAATAGGGCCACGAAGCCTTAGACTGCAGCCTCCATAGCCAGGACACCAAAATGAAGCCTTAGGTATTTCGTTGTAGGGATGGAAGCTGACTAACATGCCCACTGTGTGACGGTGGGGAGAGGACAGGATGAGTGAGGGGTGAGGGAGGAAAGGACAGGCCAGGGTACTCAGGGGTCCCTGCTACCTTCATGGCCAGCAGAGGGATGAGCCTGTCGAGCCTGACGAGCCTAGGGAGGCAGGCAAAAAGACCATCAGCTCAACAGGACCCCGTAGCCATGGTTGGTTCAAACTTCTAGCCCCGAGTGGTTTATTTAGGCATTTTTTTTTTTTTTTTTAAGCACAGTGAAATTCGGTGAAAAGTTTTCAGGTGATAATTAACTCAATAGTTCGTACACAACAAAGCAGACACAAATCTCCTTGAGGGACAAAGCAAGCTAAATACAGATCAGATGCGACTATGTTAAAACTCTCTGTGAAGTCCATAAAGATAGGATCTATAGACTGAGAAAAAGAAGCTTACAATACAGGCCTCTAGCCACACAGATAGCACAGACAGCGGGTAGAAAGCATGTCTACTCCAGCCATCTTGGTGTTTGTCAGGTGCTACATTCCTTCCCTTGAGGGAACAAGCCTCATCACAAGCACAAAGACCTCTGGGATTCATTCCTACAAAGCTCTGCGTGAATATGACCAAAGTACAGTGAGGCATGTATGAAAATGTCATAATAGAACCCATTGTTTCTTCTGAAAATTATTTACTTATTTTCTGGATGAGCGTTTGCCTGTCTGTGCGCCCCACGCATGCCAGGTATCTGCAGAGGCAGAAGAGGGCATCAGATCCCCTGGAAATGAAGTGACAGATGATTGTGAGCTGCCATGTGGGTGCTGGGAATTGAACCTGGGTTCTCTGCAAGAGAAGCCAGTGCTCTTAGCCACTGAGCGGCCCTTCTACCACCAATTTATTTCTTATGCTCAGTAAAAACACTAAAAATGTGAAAATCCACAAAAAGCTGGAAAACTAATTTAACCCTATTGCTTAAAGGGTCTTTGGGAAGAAAGAGGTTTAGGTAAGGACATCAAGATGAAGAACCATGACTGTGTCCTGATGAGGAAGAAGAAAGAAGAAAGAAGAAAGAAGGAGAGGAGGAGGAAGAGGAGGAGGAGGAGAAGAACAAAGAAGAGGAGGAGGAAGAGGAGGAGGAGGAGGAGGAGGAGGAGGAAGTAGCAGCAAGATCAGAGCATGCACTCATGTGCACACACTACCTGTCCCATTTCATGAGATGCCATATCTTGAGATGCCATGTTCTGCTGGAAATCTGCCAGCAAGCAGACTATCATCAGATATGGGCCCTTGAGCCTAAGAACATAATCTATCTAATAATCTTTCTCTGTGTGTGTTTGTGTGTGCTCAGCATGGACAGCCCTGCCCCCGTACCCCTAAACCTGTTTTCTTAATAAAGTTGTCCAGACTTGTACATTTTGTTGCAGTATTGAAATATATAGATGAAGGAAGTGTCTTAGGGTTCCTATCACTTCGACGAAACACCATGACCAAAAGGCAAGCTGAGGAGGAAAGGTTTATTTTGCTTACATTTCCAATCCTTGTTCATCATAGAAGGAAGTTAGGACAGGGAACTGAAACAGGTCAGGAGCCTGGAGGCAGGAGCTGATGCAGAGGCCATGGAAGGGTGCTGCTTACTGGCTCGCTCCTCACGGCTTGCTCAGCCTGTTTTCTTATAGAACCCAGGACCACCAGCCCAGGGGCGGCACTGCCTCCCATGGGCTGGGACCTCCCCCATCAATCACTGATTAAGAAAATGTCCTACAGCTGGATCTTATGGAGACATTTACTCAGTTGAGGCTCCCTCCCTTTCAGTTGACTCCAGCTTGTGTCAAGTTGACATAAAAACTAGCCAGGACAGGAAGGATAAATTTAATACAAAATTATGTGATATTTTCTTTTTTTTTTTTTTTTTTTTGCATCAAGTGTTTGGTTTATCATATACAACATGCATCGACTAGAACTACCCACCTTCTCGTTAGCCACGTGTGGCTTGTTGTTCTTCTATTGGAGAGCGTAGTTCTAAATAAGAGATTGTTTGCCTGAGAATTAAGTGATTAACTTTTGCCTTGGGCATAAATCACCTTCCCACCTGAGGTTAATTAACTTTTTCACATTCTCAGCAATGTAATCCAAATGTCCCAGGAGGCTTTTCTCCACTTATCCCATTCCCCAGCTCTCCAGGTGTTAAAAAAGCACACAGTAAGCATTTACTTCATGCTTATTAGCCTGAGGTAAGGCTGGTCCTCCTTACTCAGGTTACTTGATATTTAACTTGGGGACCATTTCCTCCAAGACCTTGAGTTTATTTTCAGTCATGGTTATTAAGTTATTCAGCAAATCTGGACATGAGGCTTGCCCAGATTTTCTTGCTGTTTCTATGGGTTCCATCAGCCACTCCAGCTTCCCTGTTTTCTCCCTCATAGCAGGTGGATGTCAACCCAGGATGGCTGAGAACTCCTCAGTTCTCCAGTGTTCCAATTTGGTGGCACACCTTCTCAAGGAAGTGAGCCAAATGGACTTGGATCTGTAACACACTTGGGAATTTTTTTTAATAATCTGTAGACTTGGGGAGATCAAGTTGCTTTCTGCTCAGACTACTAACCTACTTTACTTATTTATTAAAGATTTATTTATTTTATGTGTATGAATGCGTGCCTGCATGTATGTACGCCTGGTGCCCACACATGCCATTGGATCCCTGGAACTGGAGTTACAGACAGTTGTGAACCACCATGTGGGTGCTGGGACCCAAACCCAGATCCTCTTGAAGAGCAGCAAGTACTCTACTCACTGAGCCATCTCTCTAGCTCCTCTGCCTACCCTAGACCGAGAAAGCGGCAGTGAGGTGACTTACCCGGGATTGCTGGTGCTTGTGGTAGAATTCAGTCATGTTGAAGTCGTCCAAGTCGACCAGTAGGCCCTGCTTGCACATCTCACAGGTCTTTACGGTGCCCAGATCTGCTCCTGGGTGTAGGAGGAAGAACCGTATGTGAGAGAGGAGATTGGAAGTTCTCTCAACACGCCCACACACACTTTTATGCTATATGCACCCTCGAGACTGTTTGTGCCAGCACTTTGGACAGGTGCTATTTTGAGATTGAACTTGTGTGTGTGATGAATTGCAAGCTTCAGTGGTTTTCATTTGAAGTCAGTCATCTTCTGGAGAAAATGACCTTGACTCTGAGCTCTGAACATCTTTTTTCCCTTTGTGGTCATGTATTATTTGAGCTTCAGGCAGGTGAAATCTCCATGATGTCTAAATAACAGGTCTTGTTTCTGTCTAAATATATAAACATAATGGTTCATAAAATTGGAATTGCTACACGGAAGTGAATCCACTCTAGCGTACGCCTTTGCAAGAGGAGTGACTGACTGTTGGACTGCGGTCTTCCTCACCCCTGCAGACCTAACATAGCCTGCAACAAAGAAATTGATACCAGACCCACAGCAGACACTGGGAAAGGGAGCAAGGGCCCAGACGTGAATTCTAATACAGCTGTATCTGGGGCCAGCAGAAGCCTGAGGTCAGGCTCATTTGGGAAAAGAAGTAGGAGAAGGCTCCCTGCACTGACGTTCTTGTGAAAACGTGACCGGCACTTGATCTGCTTCCCCAAAGCAGAAGCAGAGGTGGCAGAACCATGGCTGTCCTGTGGAAACAGAACACCGCACAGTTCCCCCGCTACAGCTGCAGCATTTAGTTAGTGCTTCTTCCTAGGAGACGTATCAGTCACCTGCACCTATTTAGTGATCAGGGCTTTGCAAGCTTATACCCCAGTTCTAAATTTCTACTGTGGATATAAAAAATAATAAATCAAAGAGACTGTTTAAAGGTGGGAGTGGAAAGTTCATCTCCCCTTTCTGCATTTTGTCTTGCTTGTATTTCTTCTTTTTCTTTCCTTCCTTCCTTCTTTCTTTCTTTTTCTTTCTCTTTCTTTTTCTTTCTTCCTTCCTTCTTTCTTTTTCTTTCTTTTCTTTCCTTTCTCTCTTTCTTTCTTCTTTTTTATTTCTTCTTTCTTCTTTCTTTCTCTTTCTTCTTTTTTATTTCTTTTCTTTCTTTCTTTCTTTCTTTCTCTCTTTCTTTCCTCTCTTTCCACCCCCAATCTGCATCATCAGCAAGGAGTTTGGTGACTGACTGGACATCCTGCATGCCTTCCATTCTAATCCTGCTGAACAGAATCAAGCTCCAAGAAAGTATCATATTTAACTTGCTTTTTCTTTTCCTTTTGGCCTGTGCTAAATGTTTAATTGGCTTGAATTTCTAGTAAGAGAAAGCCTTTGCTTGGCTGCTGTAGAATGCTGTCCTCTAAGTGACACAGCCACATGGTCACCAGATCAGCTGTGCCTGCCGGCCAGAGTCCTTCATGACAGAGAGGGCCTGTGGTCTGCATGGGGAAGAGTCACTGGACCCTCACTGAGTTCCCAGCCACTCCTCCCAGCCACTCGTAGGCAGTTCTGTCCTACCTGCACGTGGCTCGAGGGTCTAGAAAGATCCTAGCATATACAGGTTTGGGGAGGTGAGTCAAAGAGGGCTTCCGTTTCCCAGAGGTGAAGACTTTCCAGTGCAGCGGCTTTGGTGTCACCCCAATCCTGTCAGTAACCCCTCATTTGTGCTCTGTGGATCAGCCCAATAAACTCACCTCCTCTCCGGGTTAAACTTTAATGGACTCACACTTTGGTTTGTCCTTGGGACTTGATGAAGAGATGCAGTATTTGCATCTCCCCAGGGAAGGAGCAGCCACAGTAGTAGCAGAGTCATCAGTGATCAAAGTCCACCCCCCGAAAGTCCCCTCCCCAGGTCTGGAGTGAGTTCTTTGCTTGTGGATGTGGAGTTAAGCATTTGAGGACGGGGTCTCTATGTCTTGCGGAAGGGAAGATGCAGCCATGGGGAGAGCCTCCATTAATATGATTACCCCATGATGTGGAGAAGGCAGACAGCTACAACTGTGCGGGAGGGGGAAGCTCCTGACCTGCTATCAGGCCAGGAACAGATAAGGCTATAAAAGAGGAGAGAAGCAGGGCCTGGCTGAGGAACACCGATCCCAGGGGGCCAGGCCGGAAAGATATAGTGGCCATTTTCTACTTGACCGCCACGATGGAACCCCTTTCAACTATCCTCCCCCCAGCCGGGATGCTCTGGCTCCTCCATTATAAACGGCAAAGAAGCCCACTGTCCACCAGGAACACTCCAGCCAACCTCCCATGTGTCTGCATTTAACTTATCACTTCCTGGGGGGACTGAGAAGGGGCTTCACGCCCAGCTATGAGATCAGTCTGACAAAGCTGCCACATGCAGGAAGCTCTTTAATAGAGACCTAGAAAATCAGAGCGACGCTCTTCTTAACCCTCTGGCAAACAGGCAGAATTGCTTGCGCTCTATTTTTAAAGTGGTTTTTATTCATTAGAATGTGTACGCACGCGCGCGCGCGCGTGTGTGTGTGTGTGTGTGTGTGTGTGTGTGTGTGTGTGTGTATGTACCTACAGGGCCAGAAGGGGGACGGTGGGTCCCCTGGAGCTGGATTACAGGTGGTTGTAAGCTGACTGATGTGGGTACTGGGAACTGGACCTGCTTGGGTCCTCTGTAAGAGCATCCAGTGCTCCCAAACACCGGGTCATCTCCACAGCCCCTGGCTGACACCCCTCCCCACCACAAATGAAGCAGACGTCTGTGTGTGTTTGTGAGGGTCTCTCGTGGTGGACTAGTTGCTGACTGGACGGGGCTACCGGATGCTTGCTGGCAACCCACGTCTTTCCCACATCTCCCAGGAGGTAAGCTTTGTGCAGGCCTCAAGCAGGAGAATTTGTTTCCAAGATTCCCTCAGATTTAAACACACACACACACACACACATACACACACACACACACACACACACACACACACACACCACATTCAGTTACCCTCCCGTCATATCTCTTATAAGCAAGAATCCTGGGCTTGGCTGAGTTTCCCTGACGGTGAGCTGTTGACAAGGCTCCCGAGCCCACACTGCGGCATCTTGGGTTAATTATATGCCGCGCACGCTTGCTCTTCTCCCTTCCCCACCTACCTGATGTTATTTTCACTTTCAGCCACTTTTT